GTGGAAGGGCCGCAGAGCGGCGCGGCATGGGGTCGGGTGGGGTCGATGAGGGCGCCCCAAGGTGAGGATTGTGATTGGGCTTCACCACGGGTGCGTGCCAGTGCGACACGCTTACCGCGTTCCCAGGTGACATTCAAGACGAGCATGCCGCGCCACAATCAGGCCTATTATCCTAAGGGACGACAGCACCCGATCCCTGACACCTGGCCTCTTGCGCAGCTGCATCACACGGCCCCCAGGAAACGCGGTCCCCTCAACCACGAGGTCATTTGGTGATGCCTCTTTTGCCCCCCCGCACCTCCTGCCCGAGGGCGTCGCCATCGTACTCGCCCCCCTCGTAGTCATCCTCCTCCGCCATGCCCCTGAGGTAGCGAAAGAGAGGGGTGCGGCAAAGACGCCGGCACAGTGGGGTCTGGATATAGTTCACATGGGATGGGATCCACCCACCCAGCCAACCTCCTGCCTGCATAATGTGGCCCCCTCTTCCAGCTGACGGCGAAACTTCCTGCAGCTGATGACGAAAAAAACACAGCCCTGCCTGGACAGCCCTGCTTTGGCCCCAACCAACAGGCCCACCCTCGCGAACAGCCCTGCGCCTGCAGCTGCCTTTGCCTCCGCCACCATCCCCCCAGCTGCCTCTGCTGCCGTCGCTGATCCCGTTAGCCCCTGCCCTGCTTCTCAGAGCCCAGCCTTTGGCGCTGCCGGCCTCCCGCGGCCCCCGCCTTTGCCCCTGCTGCTGCCTCTACCTCTGCTGGCGCCCCGACCCCTGGCCCCTGCCACCACGCGGCCTCACTTGTAGCGCTCCTCAATGTACTTCGCCAGCTCCTCCTCGGTGCGGTCGTCAGCCTGACGGTTCACAGCCCTGCAGGGGGTGACCAACACCGCGTCGTATCCGCCTTCTTAGCAGATCGCGCCACGGCCCGCGCTGCGAAGCGGCTGGTGTTGGCGGCCTGCGGCTGAACGTCAGCGCGCGTCCACCTGCGGCCGACCCACAGCGCGCGCTCGCTCGCGGCCGGGCTGAGGGGATGCGCAAGTCCCGCCCCCGCCCCCGCCCCTGCCGCGACCCCTGCGAGGGGCGCGCCTGGCCCGGCCCGTGGAAGCGCCCGTCCGCCTGCCGCTCGCCTGTATGCCGCCGCCGCCTGCCCTGCCTCCAGGTCCTCTGGCCCCAGCTCCTCGTCCTTGTCATTGATGAGCTCCTCCATGTCATCCTATGCGTGCCAAACAGGGCACGTTGCGCCGCAAACGATGGGAGGTTTGTCAGGTGTGCCGGAAGGGCAGCAGCGGGTCGGCCAGGAAGGGCACTGCAAAAAAATGGCTGGGTGCGCGTTGACTTTGCATGTGCATGCCAGGATGGCGTGACCTCCTCAAGCTGCTGCTATGAATTGCATGGAGCGTTGGGTGCCGCCAGCCGTAGGCATGGGGCGCCCTGCTGCGCGCCGCTGGTGCGGGGCGCGCACCTCGGCCTCCTCCTCCTCGTCCTCGTCATCCACCGCCGCCATCTCATCAATGAACTGCGCGCCCGCGGTGCGCCGCCGCCGCTTGCCGCGGCCGCCGTCGTCGCTGTCGTCATCCTCCTCCTCCTCGTCGTCGTCCTGCATGTATGCGGCGAGGCAACGGCGGAGAAGCATGCGCCAGGGGTCGCGGCGGGGCGGATACGTGTGCTGCCGCCCAACCGCCAAGCCATCAGAAGGGCGGTTATGGCGGGTAATCAAGGGCAAAGCCCCATTGCCGGCGTAGGCTGTAGGGTACAGTGGTCAAAACGTCTGCCCGTCCAGCAACCTTCCTTGAAGCACAATCAAGCTGGGCTTGCTGCGTGCAGCAACAGCAGCAGCATCAGCCGAGAGCAGCGGCAGCAGCAGCGGTGCCGGTGTGGTGTGCGCGCACCTCAGCCTCCTCGTCCACCATAGCCGGCTTGCGCTTGCGCTTGTCTGGTTTCTTTGCAGGCGTCTTCTTGCCCTTCTTCACGACCTTGGGCTTGGCTTTGGCCTTGCCCTTCTTCTTGGGCTTTTCATCTGCCTCCTCCTCGTCCTCAGAACCCGAGCTCCCCTCGTCCGATGCCTGAAAGTCCTCATCCTCATCCTCGTCATCATCCCACAGGCCTTCATCCGCAGGGAGCTCCATGTTGCCAATGATCCGGCCTCGCTCTGCGATCTGGCGCCTCGACGCTATGTGGCTCTGATGTCACCTATACAGAAATGGGTGCAGAGTTCACAATAGATACAGCAGCCAGGTCACCGCATGCACAGCCTGCCGGCGAGTCTCGTCCCAAGCGATCTCTGACACCTTCTTGTATGTTGATACTGTATCTAACAAAGAGAATTTCTCACTGATGTGACCCGCTCTAACCAGCTAAGAGGCGCGTGCCTGCTGTGCGCCCATCGCTCAATGGCGCCGCAGCCCGGGTGCCGCATCAAGTGACTCCAGCCCGAGCCAGGGCTCTGCTTGTCCTGGGCTTATACCTGTAACGGCACTGCGTTCGTTGCTGCGCCTTTGAATGCGCTTCTACCCGCTATGATATGTTTATGCTGCGTGTGGAACCTGCGCTCGCATTCAGCCTGCTGGATAGAGTGTAAATCTGCATGCCAAGGCTGGTCAACACCGCGAACATGCCCAAGCACCACCCATGACGTCCAGCTCAGGGTCCACCCTCACTGCTCACACATTCTGTGCAACACTTTACAGCGCAGCAATACTCACAGGCCTAGCAACACAACCGCAGGACTGGGTGCGGCGCCGCCCCTCCGCCCGCTCACTCCGCCCCGCCGCCGCCCTCCCCGCCGCCGCCGCCGGCCTCGCCCGCCGGCGCGGGCCCCATGGTCCTGTCCACCAGCCGCCGCATGTCCTCCAGGATCTTGGCCTCCTTAGCCTTGTTCTCCTCGTAGTTGAACATGGCCAGCGCCGCCTTCTCCTCCGCACTGTAGATCTGGTTCTCCTTGCGGATGCGGATCGCGTTCATGCGGCTGTGGCGGGAGCCCGACATGATGTAGCCCATCTCCTCGAACTTGCTGATTTCCTCGCTGGTGAGGCCCACCTCTCCACGCCGCGGGATGCGCTTGCCGC